GTACAATCATTATAAATTAAAAGGTAATCAAAATAATTTTTTCTGTGATTCAAAAAAATATATATATATTTTAGGGGTTTGTTTGGTGACTTATGTGACAAAATTAAGTTAGAGAAAGAATGTTTGGAATGCGTAAAAGATAGTCCTATTATAAATAAATAAAAATATTGTAATATGTGGTAATATTTGTTAATATCACGAAATGTATGAATAATTTGAATATTTATAAATTGGGCCAAACATAAACAAGAATTTTTTTATTTTGTCATGTTATGATAGAACACGTCCCGTGGTTATTTCTACAATTGATATGAGATATTGTAATATATATACATATACAACTTTCGTTACTCCAAGTTAATCAACTGTTGACGTCAAAATCAATCAATAGATAAGATGTACAAGAATCTCCAAATATTGTAAATTTGAAGAACTAAATTGTAAAATAATACATGTCCAAAGCAGCATTGAGATTCATTAGTTGAGATCTTTTGTTGATGAAGTCATACGAGGAATATGAATATACTGCATATAAAATAATTACGTGCATATAAAGTAAAGTTCCTTACCTCATCTGTAGTCCCGTTAAATATTTGAACTCTAAGATAGAATTATTTAGCATTTAATTGAATTGACCACAATTTATCTATTTAGCTAATCAACTATTGAATCGATAACCCTGATTAGTTTCATGAAAAGTGATTCTTGTTAATAGGAAAAATTGCCATGTGAAATGAGAGATTTTATCTTTTAAAATTATAATATAACCAATAATTGCCAGAGTACCCTACCATCATAGATGACCTTTATATAGGCAGATTCATTGTCTATACTCAGCACCAATAATTTAGGATTGAAGCTCCCATACATTTGCCCGCCACTAGACAAGGGAGCAATAGTTTTCTCGCGCAATGCTAGATTTAATGACCAACTTGTGTCAAACAAAAACTTTTTATGAGCAAATTCTTCGAGGAGTCCTTAACGTTTCATAAGTTTAAGTATTCTCAACTTTTTATGTCTAGCATTCGTACACCAACCTTTTAACATTATGCACACGATATCCTCGTTTCAAGGAGAATATCTATTAAGATGTTAAATGATCGTGTGAACGTATGTGATATTTGACGAAGATGGTAAAATTGTTAAAAAAATAAATAAAAATGAGCAACACTTGTAATTTGGATAGTCACCCTTTAGGTTTTGGAATGAAGAAACATTTATAGATGATTTTACTCTTTGAGCCAAACATCACATACGCGTCGCATAAAATTTTATAGACAAATTTCATCTGGTAAAAATATAGCGCACAAGACTAGACCTAAGATTTTGAGATTCTTAGACGAAACTTTATATTGGATGATAAATAATTGAAAACAAAGTTACATACAACTATCGTTACATAAATTTGTTACTAAATTAAAAACGTTTAAAGTTACAATAATAATAATTTAAACTTTCAAGAGTTCACTTTAAATTCACTCTTCTGGCATTGTGTGACAAAAAGCTAACAATTAAAATATGAGATTTGAGTCTTTTAGTCGGGTTTTTTTTTTTCCTCCCTCCATAAAGAAACGAGGGCCAAATAATGGCTTAGTCTATTCTATAAAGCATTTTTCAATAGCATCACTAATTCATTCAATCTCTTGTGATGTAGTTGACTTAAAGTACGATTTTATCAACTTCAACTTCAAAAAACTTATTTCTACAAAGTTATCAGTAATTGATATTGTTAATAGTATTCTACGAGCGAACCACAAATTTAGAAAACAACAATCTATTATTTTTAAATAGTTCAACACCTCAATTAACTTTGAAAAATAAATTTCTAGCAACCTAAAAGGAAACCCGAATAAAGGAATAGTTAAAGTTGCTGCTGGTAGATCAGCTAAAAATTTAGATGAACCACTAGCAGATAAATCAGATGCGAGCTCGATCAATTGAAATGCTGGGAGTCAAGGCAAAGGCAAAAGGTTTTTTTATTTTTTTTATTTTTTTGCCTAGTGTATATGAGCAGTACGTGGAATGTGATTTAAGGTCGTTGTTGGAATAGGTTGACCCTGTGCTTGATCCTAAAGAGACAATGAACGAAAATATGGCCCGCTAGTTAGTTTAAAATGATTCAAGTAATAAGGGATTTGGTATAGAAATGTGCGGTGCAAAAAAGAGATTATCCACCCTTTGCTTTGAAAGCAACAATTGCAAGTGAGTTCAGAGCGGAGACACCACCTTTCTATTCGAATACAAGGGAGTATGCCATTCCGATACACTTTTGAATATAGATTGTGACGAAGTTATAGACTTCACAAATATTGATTACTATAATAAATTTACAAAAATCTTCTTCAAGACATATAGGTAAATACATATGCAGTCAATCAAAATAAGTAAATGGAAAAGTCATCTATTGTCATCATTCTTTATCTCTAAATAGGGAAGTCAAGTTTAGACGCACGAAATTGTTACGAACGCAAAGAACAAAATAACGAAAAATTGAAAATTTTAGAATTTAATTAATAAGTGCAAAGTTAAGTTACTAATGCATATTTGATGTTGATTTTTAATAAATAACGATTCGTTGAGTTCTATAAAATGTACGATTAAAAGTTTATATAAATTATGAATGAAATAAAGTATATAATTAAAAATAAGTTTGAACTTTTAATGTCACCGTCCAACTCTTATAACATTGGGCACGTGAAAAACATGCAAGGTATAAATAAGGGACGAGAAAGTGTAAGTTGGGCAGTGGGAGTCAGCCGTTGACCATTGATAGTACATTTTTCAGGGGTAGTTTTGGCACAGTCATGTTTCAGTAATCTACACGTGTGAATTCATGGACTTGCACATTACCCGATTACGTACGTTATCTGACTGCAATTGAGTACATACCCGTTGACTAAGCTAAAATCTGGTCACTTTGCAAACGTTTAATTTGTGTTATCTTATAAATAAAAATATCACGAGCATATGCCAATATATTGCATTCGGTGTTTTAAAAAGCGCGCTTAGACGCGAGACACGAACAAAGCGCTTTAACTTGAGAATAAACATGAATTAAGTGGTCAAGTGTTAAGTTGATCGCTTAATATGAGTCATGCATAAATGCTCTTTACTAATGTTTTTCATTTTTTAAACCTTTTATTTGACCTAAGTTTATTATTATTTTTTATTTTTTTGAAAATCTTTTATTTGACTTTTGTTTCAAAATTTAAAATGATTTTACATGTACAAAAGTCAAAAATGATTTTTCCAATAAAGATTTAGATAAAATTTAAGCACAATACTATCTATCTTATGTAATTATGATTTTGAGACTTTCGTTTTGTAGAATATTTAGAAAATACGTATGAAATTTGTATAAAATATGTTAGGTGAGATTTGTCTAATTAAGTCCTTGTTTGAGCCTCATTTTTCATCAAAATGCATTCTTTAACAGTAATTTAACTTCATTTCAACCACTCATTTTTCAATAAAATAATATTACAAATAAATTCAAAACTCCTCCTTATTTTTTAACCATATATTTCCTACATTAACACTATTTAAAAATACATTTTATTTAAAAAAATGAGCTCAAACAACCCCTAAAAATAAAAAATGTGAAAAATAGTTTAGCTTTTGCTTTTCGAAAATTTGAAAATTGTATAATTAACTAATTGTAGAAATTATTAAACAAATATAGCATATTATAATTTTAGATATTTCATATGTATTAAATAATTTTTAGAATGGTTAAGTATTCAAGATAATAATACATATAAGTAACCTTTTTTTTTATGGCCCGCATGCCTAGCCACGCTTTATGCTTATTTAGAACACAGATAGCATGTGATGTGAATTAAACGTATCAAACACTAGTTTAATAGAAAAAGGGAGAATACTAGTTGTATATCACTATTTACATATTTTTTTAAAGATTGATAAAGTGTTAAAAAAAAGTGGGCGATCTTTTATTTTTTCGATTGATGAAATTTTGACCTAACAAATCTTGTCACATCATCTATTTATAAATAAATCTATAAGTGGGAATACACATATATCACAATCGATAGAAAAATGGCACCAGACATCCCCAACGATTGGGAAAATAGGCACACTTCGTTCATGTTGACAAAATTAGTCTAATTTGACCGTTAAAGTGGAATGAAATGACAAATTTGCCCTTGTTTTTAAATAAATAAAAGCAAAGAAAAACAATAGAAGAAAAAATTGTTGTGGAAGCCCGAATATTATCAAAAGGTATAAATGAATCCTTCATATTGCTCTTTAAAATAATTACAGTGAAAAAATTAATGTTATTTACGAGTTATAGAAGTAAATATACAATTTACTATGCAACTAATAATAATAATCACAACAACAACAATATAATAATTTTATTTCAATTTTAGTATCTATGTACACTTATAACATTAAGCTCATGTTCGGTTTAGATATACATTAATTTTTATTTTTTATAGATCTTGACAAAATTTTAATGAGATGTGTGGTTGAAAGTTATGAATTCCGTGAAATCTATGGTTAAAATTAACTATTGATTTTAATTTAACTTTTTAGTTGAACCAAACACGGATTAAATTTATTGAATGCCCAAATGCTGATTTTGAAACATAAGACAATTTTTGAAGCAGAAAACTCCATTTATCCCCATACGTCCACTTTTTCCCATATTCCTCTATTCAAATATACTTGTGATATATTGAGCAGGTTTTGAAATATCGAGTCGCTATATTTTAGAATCTTTCAAAAACTTATAGCTTTAGGAATTTCTCGATTAGTTATTTGTGAATTCTCTAATAATATTTTTTGAGTTTCGAGTAAGGACAGTTGCTTTTATTGTAAATTAATATTGATTATTAAGAGTGAACAAAATTACATAATTATGTATGCAAAGATGAGTAAAGAGAGGGGAAGGATTCTTCCCAAAGCAAACAAGAAAAAAAAAACGCCGAAAGAATATAATTAGCAAAACTACAAAACAATGAGAAACAGCTACCCCAACCCCCCTTTCATTATCGATTTCCGTGTCAAGCAAGCATCCATACCACACACTACACTCCCCAATTTCTTAACCCACGGGCAACCCATAAAAATCCCATCTTCGTTTCCTACAAAGCTTTACTTTTCTTGTACAAAACTTTACTTGCCTTCTAATCTTTTCACCAAACCCACCTGTATAATTTTTCATTTTCTTGATGGGTTTCTATTTGTGAGATAAGTTTTGGGTTGAATCTTGATTTTGTGTTTGTTTTGGATTATAATTAATCTGAGAGTAAAGATGGGTCAGGAGGTGGTGGCGATGGTGGGCACAGCAGCGCCAGCGGCGGGGATGGGAGGTCGGCCGCCGACTTCTTTGGCCCCTGGGTTCAGGTTTCATCCTACAGATGAGGAGTTGGTGAGATACTATCTGAGGAGGAAGGCCTGTGGAAAGCCCTTTCGGTTTCAAGCTGTTACTGAAATTGATGTCTACAAATCTGAGCCCTGGGAGCTAGCTGGTATAAATACACATACATAAATGCATGACGATACGTTGTATACATGTAATTGGAGTAGAGTGGTTTTTTTATTTAATTTTTCGGTGATTTAATATTTTTTGTTTATTAGATTGATGGGTGTAATATGTAGATTTTGGAACTATCACTGTTCTGGATAGTCTTATTTTTCTTGTTTTCTTGAGCTTTTGGGATTTTGATAAGATAGTCTGGTTGTGGATATGAAAATTTTATTTCAGGGTTTCTGAATATATGTGTTAGTAAAAAGTAGTACCAGAAAAGCTTCAAAATACAATGGAAATAAGATTTGAGTCTGTAAAAAGAAGTTAAAGAGTGCAAGGAAATTAAACATCTTTATTGTTGAAGAACTAAGATTGATTAGTGATGGGATTTTGATCTGATTACGAGATGGATGAGAAGTTACTGGAAATGGTATGAATAAATGTAATGGATAAACATACAAGTATAAATTCCAATATCTAAGTCTGAGTATCTGCTACCTCGATTTGTGAATTGGGGATGGGGAGTTTTTATCGTATTTAGTATGTTCTATTTTCATTCAAATCTTTCTTTGCTTGCAATAGATTCTCGTGTTGTTGCGAATGTGTAGATTTTCTTGTCTTTATAACTGAACTAATGAATAATTTGGTCTCTTGATCTTTGACTTAAAAGATTATTCGTCGCTGAAAACGAGAGATCAAGAATGGTACTTTTTCAGTCCTGTGGATAGGAAGTATGGCAATGGGTCTCGGCTAAATCGTGCAACGGGCAAAGGGTATTGGAAAGCAACTGGGAAGGATCGGTCTGTGCTTCACAGAAACCAGACTATTGGAATGAAGAAAACTCTTGTTTTCCATAGTGGGCGAGCTCCTGATGGGAAGAGGACGAACTGGGTAATGCATGAGTATAGGCTTTGCGACATAGAATTGGGAAGGGCTGGAGTTTCCCAGGTGTGGGTGATGATTTTAGAAGTTAAATTTAGTGCTTGTCTATTTTCATCTGTTTTGAAAGTTATAAATCTTTAAAGAAATTCCTGTTTGTTGTTTTGCAACGGAAAAGGATGCATTTGTGCTTTGTAGAATCTTTCAGAAGAGTGGTTTAGGACCACCCAATGGGGACCGGTATGCACCTTTTGTCGAGGAGGAATGGGATGATGATGCAGCCCTTGTGGTTCCTGGTGAAGAGGCTGAAGATGATATGGCCAATGGAGATGAAGAAAGAAATAAGGGCAATGACCTTGACCAGGTTTATTTTCTGTCCTTTTTTTAAACAATCAGGTGTTTTAAGTTCCATTCTTGTACAGGTAAAATCCCTTTATCCGTTCATTTTACTTCCTGTATGATTATCTACTTTTTTGTTGTTGCAAAATTCATGATCGATGAAGTCCATAAATGTTTTGCCCAGCTGCATTAGTATATTCAACCAGAACTTTTTGCAACATGTTTCCCTAGTTTGGGAAATGTTACTTTGCGCTGTATTGAAACATGAATTCTGGTTGTGAAACAAAATACGATTTTCCAACTAGTGTTCTTTTTTACAGCATTACACACCAGTATAGTATAGGCTGAATAATACTAGTTAGCTCGTAGGCAGTAAGTGTTCTCTAAAAGTTTTTGGTTGGTTCATTACTGATATATGAGCAATCAATAATCAATAAAAAATTTAATGATCTCATGCCATGAAAATTTTGTTCGGTGAAGTGAAGCAATTTTTTTGAATCCGGTACCTTGTACATGTTGGTGGGAAAGTAGATGTTCCTAGCTTGATCTTGCAAGGGATTAGGTATGGAAAATGGAAAAGACCATACGGAATAGAATAGAATGCAGTTCGATGGTATCGTGTTTGCTCTGGGATCAAGCCCTAATAATTAGTGAAAAGAAGTTAGAAATATGAATAATAATGAAATAACCTCTCATTTTCATATTCACAAAGAAGTTGATTTCATGAAAATAGCATTTGATCCATTTTCTATAACAATCACTTAAGTTTCTCGGATTTATGAGACTTTAAGATCACATCTGATATATTAGATCTTACATAATTAACTAGAATTGACATAGCTTCTGTACACTAAAATCATTAGTAGCTTTTTAGGAGAAATAGTGGTGGGGACCGCGGAATATGTAGATAATAATTAGTAGTTTTGAATGTTTTATTGAAATTAAAGTTTGACTTTGACTGTATAGTAGAAGTAACTTTTAATTTTCTAAAAGTGTTTCCAAATAGAGGCATACTAATATATAAATTGCCTGGCTTTTAAAACCTTGCATGAGGACTCAGGAGAAATGAGTGAAAACTGAAAACAATGTTAATTATCATTTGGATTTGCAGATGAAAATCGTACTTGCTTTAGTTTGCAAGTTGGTTCTATATGTTTTTTTCTTTCTTATCGATCAAAGAAGAAGGTATGGGGCCATTATGGCCCTTTAAATGACAATACAGGTAAACTTTGAGCACTGTTTTGACTTGGGATTGAAACTTTTCAGTGTTTTTCACTTGAGATTGATGCTCGACTTAATGTTTATTTATAATGTTACTACTCAAGTATATGTTTGGTACGATGTGATGAACAAAAGTTTAGCCCCTTTTTCTGCCTTCCTGTGCGAACCGTTACTCTACCAAATATAGCGTAAGTTATGTTTTGGCATGCGATTCTAGGACATTATATAATGAATTTGATGAACTCATACTCTTTGTTTTCCAAAGTGCCAGAAGTTGTTCTCTTGGTGCCCTTCAAAATTTATGAAACATTCTTATAAGATTGTATCTTTGCTCTAAATTTGTAGCAGGATACCCGTCCTCACGGCATGGACTCGATGCAAAATCTTCTGTTTCTTTGCAAGAGGGAGGGATCAGAAGATCCTGAACACCTATGTTTAGCTCAAAATAAAAGATCAAAGCATGATGATGTTCCCAACTCCAGCCATGCAAATGGATCAGAAGATTCAACTACAACAAGCCAGGATACCAAAACAAAGATGACGACGACAAATTCTCCCATAGCACTTCTGGAATATCCTTTATTAGAACCAGTCGAACCCAAAGAAAACCAAAACAACCCTACTACATTTGACTCTTCAAACCTGGAGAAATCTGTCCCCCCTGGATATCTGAAATTTATCTGCAACTTGGAGAATGAAATCCTAAATGTCTCCGTGGAGAGGGAGACTTTGAAGATTGAAGTGATGAGGGCTCAAGCTATGATCAACGTTCTCCAATCACGCATAGAAATGTTGACCAAAGAAAACGAGGAGTTAAGACACCATGTCCGGGAAGGGTAATAGGACGTGGGACATTATCCAATCATCCATGTCTTCAAAACTAGAAGATGAGACGAGCAAGGGCCTTGAGACACTTAAATGTTCACCTTGCCTATGCAGTCTTCGTTTAGTTTTTTAATGTGATCCGGACAAATCCATCAGTCGACAATGCTTTCATATTTTGAATTGACTTGTTCAATAAAAATCAAATTCTAAGTCATGATCTTTATCTTAGCGCCTGTTTGCTTCCACTATTTGGTTGATTAAAATTCATTTTTTTACCGTTAGTGGGTCTCATATCTGCATTTGAGTGTGAGGGAAGTCAAAACTTGCGGCTACTAACAGTCCAATAATGGCTTAAAATTTGGGTGAAAATTTCCACACAATAGGCACTTAGTATGAAATATGAAATAATTCGTTAAAGTTTTCGTACAAGATGTTAAAGTAATTTCAAGACACTCTATTTTTAAAAAGCGTACTCTACAATTTAGAGAGCATCCATAAATTTAAAGAGTATAATTTTAAATATTGATTTTTTGAAATGGAGAGCATTTTATATTTAAAAAGTATCTTGAATATGCTCATACATAAATGGAGTCAATATGTATGTGATAGTTTAAAGTAATGCGACAAATGGAGTTCGTTCGAAGTGTTATCATCGTATGTTTTTAGTGATGGTAAAAAAACTCGTCCAATCCCACCTCGATGGGATTCGGGGCGGGGCTCAACGAGGCGAGGATGCCTCGTGAAAAAAAATTAAAAATAATTTTATTTCTAGATAATTCACTCGTTAAAAACTCAATTTGAATTTGTATTTTATTCTCTAATAATAACTTAATTTGAAATTTTGAAAATATAAAAAATAAAAAATAATAAACGAGACAACAAACTGGGAAAAGTTGCACTACGCCCTCCCCATCTAAGGAGGGGCGGGACAAGGTTTGGGCGAGATGGGGGCGGGGCGGGGGAGGGGGGCCTACCTCGTTGCCATCATCCCTAGTTTATACGGTATAAGTTGGACATTCCACTAGTTATGAATGTGAAACAATAGGGGCTGATTTGAATTTACTGAAATATCAGGAGGATTATTTTGCATGTTTCAAAACTATAAGAGTATCAGTATGCAATTATTTTCAAAGAAAATATCTGGAACCTTCTATTATATTATTGATCATTGGCAGTAGTTCTAAATGGCATGGCGTCGGTCATGCCACTTCACGCCCCTGATGACTTCAGATCAGATTCTTCGCTTTTGACGGAGGCGGCGCACATTAACATTTTTAGAATTAGGGTACAGAAGTCTTACCGACTCCCTCATTGTAGGGATCGGTCCCACCTGAAAAAATATAAATAAATAAAAATTACACCGGTACCCACACGTGTGTTTTCTGGCAAGAGTTTGTAAATACACGCAGCATGCTCCTTAGGATTATTCTCTCTATTTTTAACCAAAAATCTCTAAAAAAATTAGCCATTATTTAATTCTCATTATTTTCAAAATATATTTTTTCCCTCTCTTTTCTTTCCAATTATACATTCTTTAATAAAATAATATTACATACAAATTCAAAACTTCTATTTATTTTTAATCATATATTTTCCATCAATATACTATTTCAAAATACATTTTCAATAGAAAATGGGATTCAAATAGGCCTCAATTTTTAAAAATTACTTTTTAAAAATCAACTTCACATTGGACTTAACGTTAAAAATTAAAAGTTCAATATATACCATGAATAAAAGTCTGGTTGACAGAATTTTTGTTTTTTGTAGAAGGGTTTCATTGAAAATTTTGGATTAAGTTTCTTCAAAAGCTTTAGACAATCACTTATAAAAATTATTCAAACATATTTGAAATAAAATTTAACTTTAAAAGTAATGCCAAGAGAAATCTAAATTGATGAAGATGTAAAGCATCGAAAATGAACTTTTGGAAGGAATCAAGGAAGAGGGGGAAAAAATTACAATAAAGCTATTTGTACATTTGAGATTGACACCTTCGATGACACTCATCTCACAAGAGAGAGGAATCCACACATAATATAATAAAGACTTTGCTATTTGTGCATTCGGGGTGTCAACCCCGGATGACACTCACCTCACAAGAGGGGGGTCCACAATTATTTTATTACGTGTAGACCCTCCTCTCTTGTGAGGGCAGTGTCATATGACGTGTCAATCTCGAATGTACAAATAGCTTTATTGATATAATAATTGCAGGCCCTCCTCTTGTGAGGGGAGTGTCATTCGGGGTGTCCACCCTAAATGTACAAATAGCGAAGTCCAAAAATTAATCTTCAAAAATAATTGTTAATGGGTTAAACTTTAAAGTCCGAATCTTGAAGACTGCCGTGACAAGAATCATATCACAGTCCGTCACCCAACTCAATCTTTCTTAGTCTTGAAGAAATGTATATTAATAATAAATTGTATAACTACAACAGTACAAGTAATGGTAGTCTATTATCTCTCTAATAATATACCCTAACCCTCCAACCCCTGAATTCTTGAAATTCGAAATTCATCAATCAGATAATTCGTTTTGGATTGCAATGGATTCCAAGGACAAGAAATCGGCATCTGTATCTTCTCTGGGTCCGGGTTTCAGGTTCCATCCGACTGACGAGGAATTGGTTCGATACTATTTGAGGCGAAAAGCCTGTGGAAAATCTTTCCGATTCGATGCTATTTCTGAGATCGATATTTACAAGGTCGAGCCTTGGGATCTCCCAAGTATGCATTTCTCAAACCCTTTCTTTCTTTATATTTTGAACTCTATTTGGTGTTAATTTTCATCTTCTTTTATTTACTGGGGGTGCGGTGGTTGAGTACTGAGTGATGCAGATTATGAAAAGCCCAGGTCTTTATAAATTGGTTTTGTTTTTATACATAAGGGACACCGATTTTTGAATCCGACTGCTAGGCCGAGCTTTTGGCGGATCGAGTAGCTCGATTGAGCATCGAAAGGTCAACCGTAAGAGGAGTAGAACAATTATATAAATTATTGTTTCAATATTTTAGTTACTTCGATTTACCGTTAATAGGGAGGTTTGTTGATCGATAATTATTCTTCTGTATTTAGTAATCTGTGCGGTTTGCTTTATGTATATGTAGGCCCTTTAATTCAGAGATTGATATGATGCTGCCTTTGTAGTAAATTTAACATTTATGCATGAAAAATTTGTTTTTCCCATACAAATTCCTAATTTTGTGCTTGATTGTCATTTTTTTGGATGAAAAATATTTTTCCACTTTTGGTCACGTGACCATATTTTCCTCAAAATCAGGAAAATATTTTCTTGGAAGAGTGAGATTTTATTTTCCATGAAATTCACTCTCTTTCTCTCTCCTATTTATCCACTCTCTCGTCTACCTACTAATAAAAAATAGACGAGTATAATATTGTCTAGGTTGAAAATTAAATCAATTAAATACATTTAATTGACAATTTTCATGCAAATAAATTCTAGGCAATTGAATTATCTTGAATTTATTTTCTTTCCATACAAATTACATTCTTGCAATCAAACGCATCCTTATTTCAGTAGCCATAAACATTTGCCCTTTTTCCGTACTGTAAGCTGTTTAAAGAGAAAAAAAAGGGGGGGTTACTGTTATTTAATTTTATGGGATAATACTTTGTATTGAATTATGAGACTTCATTTTAATATTTGTATTGTGCAGTTGTTAGAGAATATACATATTGGAGGTTTGATAGAGAATGTTTTGGCAAATATGGTTTTGTAGCCAGAATATGAGGCACAGCCAGTTTTTAATCGCTTCATTTACCAAATTACCGTGAAATTTTCGGAAATGAGATTTCATTCACATAACTATGGACTGAATAATGTATTTTCTTTGCTTCATTGTTTTCTATATTTACTTGGAAATTTTATTAATCTTATGTCTAAGGTCGTGTAACAAGGAACTAATTAGGCATTGATTTATCCTTGGAGGAAAGGGAAAAAGTAGATGAGTTAACTGATGAGTATTGATTAACCTCAGTTCTTTGCTACCAAGAGGAAAAGCAGATTTAACGTTTCCTGATCATCTGGTTGAATATCATTGTAACTGAAAGTCAAAGGATTCATAATTGGTAAAGTTTCTCCTTATTCATGCCTCCTCTCAGTCCAGAGACTTGTGGTTTTAACTGGAGTCGAACATGGGAAATAGGTTCAGTGTTTTTTTTCTGTGTCAGTTGCATACAACTAAATTAATTATCAGCATCATTAGTATTGTCTGTCAAGGTTGCCCTTTATTATATGTACAACTCGATGTACGTATATGCACCTGCGTATGTATAATGTAACCACCAATATATTTTTCAGCCCAGACTTTTAACATTTTTTACTTTGTTTTTCTAAAATTTTCATATTCCAATTATTTTTCATTCTAATATGGTGGATTTTTTAGGTATGTCGAATCTGAAGACTAGAGATTTGGAATGGTATTTCTTCAGCATGCTGGACAAAAAATATGGTAATGGAGCAAGGACCAACAGGGCAACTGAAAAAGGGTACTGGAAGACTACTGGAAAGGACAGGACTGTCTACCATAAGTCACAGATTGTGGGAATGAAGAAAACCCTTGTTTATCACATTGGCCGAGCTCCAAAAGGCGAGAGGAGTAACTGGGTTATGCATGAGTACCGGCTGGCTGATTTGGAGTTGCAGAAAGCTGGAATTAATCAGGTGTGTGCACATGATTGCATTTCTTGATCTTTTAAGTTATTCTTTGCCTTTGCCTCAAGGCTTATTTTGAGCTGACAGAATTAGTGTGGATGATGAATGTCCAAGGAGTGATTTGATTTCTGGGGATTAGCAAAAAGTAGTGAGTTTGAATTAACTGCTAGAAATAAGTTGATTGGCATTCATTTTAAATCTGATAAAAAAAATAATTATATGGATGATATAATTGTTTTATGGCCATTATTGGTATTAGTGTTGTAATATTATATGGGATGATATAATTTTTTTATCGCTGTTATTAATATTAGTGTTTTATTGTTTTTGTGGCAATATAGTTGTATATCTTATTTTGGAGGATGATTTGTTTTACAGTCCTTGATCTAATTTTTTATATTATTGTTGTATTTTTTTGGTGGACAAGGATGCTATTGTGCTTTGCCGAGTTTTTCAGAAGAGTGGTTCGGGACCGAAGAATGGCGAACAGTATGGGGCTCCTTTTGTTGAGGAGGAGTGGGAGGATGATGAGCTGGAATTGGTTCCCAAGCAGGAGGCTGCAGAGGAAGTAGATTTTGGTGATGATTTCTATTTGGATGGCCATGACCTTGAGCAGGTTAATGCACTTGCCATTATACTGTGTTGTGTGCTAATTTTACAATGTCTGAGTCTGATTAGGACACACTGAAAATTTAGGAATACTTTTGTCTTTGGTCCACAATATACTTATTTTATGACCTTCATACGGTAAAATGTTTTATCTTTGCTAGATTCTTGGAACCGACATTCCGTCAGACATTGCTCCCCTTCCATTGAACACCAACTCTATAGACAATACCAGCTATGAAGAAGAAACTTCCAAGTCCAGTAGTGGAGCCCAACAGCGCATGGTTGATATGGTTGAACATAAAAATGAGCCTGAAAAGCATGACGATCAAAATCTTTATGATTTGCCAGCTTCATATGATACAGTTGTAAAACCAGTCAGGCATGAATACATGGTTGAATCGAGTGAGCCCGGGAATTTTGAGGACGTGGATTACTTGCTTGATGAACCGTTCTTGGATGCTTCTGATAATGTTCAATATAGTGATGGAGGATTTGTTGAAACTAACGATCTCTCAAATCCTGGTGCAGCTGATACATCTACTTTTGATGCGCTTGAGGAGTACCTTGCATTCTTTGATGCCAATGATGACAACTCACAATATTCTTCTTGTGATCTTTCAAAGATGATGGGAAGTGAGGATCTTATTTCTGATCATGCATTCCTCACTGAAACGGTAACCTTATTCTTTGAGCTTTGCTGTCTTTTCCAGGTTCGCAATGCAATTTAGTAATTAAGCTTACATTACTTTTCTTTTCCAGAAGGTTGATGAAGGAACTCAGCAAGCTACCGTGTCAAGTGAACAACTAATTGATAATACAAATAATGATGCGCCATCATCGTCTAATAAGCAAGAGCTGGCAAAATGTCAGTCAGGTACTGAAAGAAAATCACTCTACAACTTGTTTTTTGGCTCATTTGGAAGGGTGGACTGGGCATTACTAAGAAGAAAAAGAAATTAAAATCACCTTCATTTTACTCCACAATCCTGTCCCTAACATGCATCTCAAGCACATTTCTAACATTAATAACACACTTTCTTTTTGGGATCTAATTTCGGTATACCTTCTAATGGGTGCAGATTTTCAGTATCCTTTCATCGAGCAGGCAAGTCGCATGTTAGGCAACTTCCCGGCTCCCATGGCATTTGCATCAGAGTTTCCTTCAAAAAATGCAACTCTTCTAAATTCTGCTTCCAGTTCGGCACATATTACGGCTGGCATGATTCAAATAAGAAATTTGACCGTCAATGGCAATGGAACAGACCAATCTTTTATGAAGAACCAGAACTTCAATATTGTTCTTTCATTTGGCTTGTCACGAGGCGTCAATGGTTCTATTAACTTGGAATCACGGGTTAACCTACTTCCAGGGAAGGCTGTTTCTGCGACTTCTTGGGGTTGGTTCGATTTCATATTCTTCTGGGTCCTTATACTCTCCATGAGCTTCAAAATTGGGACCTTTCTGTGCCAGGTGAAGTGAATCTCGAGCAGTCCAAAGAGAGCGAACCTGGTGAAAAGTTTCTTACTGGACTCGCTGGATAATGTCTCCTTGAATTACAAATTGACATGTTGCAGGATTGTTTGTTATGAATTATGTTGAAATAGTGGCTAGATTAATTAGTTTTTCAGTCTTGGATAAGGCCATCGACTACGTTTAATCTATATGAGCCAGATAGTGTTGTAGATGATTTATACTGGGAAGTGAGACATGGCTTCTGACTTGGAAGCATTAAAACATATGGTTTGTGATTTCAATTTATATTCGTCCGTGATTGAATCGTAGCTTGCAATTATTTTCTTTTTCCTTTTTATTTTTAATAAGGTGTGCTGCATATTGAAAAAAGAAAAAATAATAATAAAATTGTATCGTCTAATCATATTTATTGTACCATCTTCTCATTCTCGTTCCCAATTCCTCACGAGAAACAATTTTAATGTTGACATAACGAGGATTCGCAATATTTGATATTAACCCCTATTTGTTTCCAATTTTTTGTCCAATTTCAATGCATTTTCGGACCATTGTAACATTGTAAGTCGTGATTTTTAACTTTTCCTCTCACATGGGTTCCATGTACTCGTTGGAAAAAGGTCAAAAATATGCATTTTTGCCTTCAAACAATTGGAAACAAACAGGGCTAAGGATTTAACTATGTGATAAATAAGACTTTATCTCATTCTTCTTTTGAATATTGTTCGATCATAGAGTTCAGTCCATGACAGCCTTGTACAGTGAACAAGACGCTCCTTGAACTTGTTATGTACAATTTGCTATGTACATATTTCTCATTAATGAGTTAGAATTTTTTTTTTTTTTTTTACACAATATTATAAAGACAAACATAAGTGTGTATTTGTGAAGGCTTTCTGAAGTTCAAACGTACTTTGTTTAAAACATAGTTAAAATCGATAAGTACTTTGACCAGGTAATATAGCTTTTTGTGCTTTATATTATTTTATATATCAATTTGTCATGTTTTAACGAGTTTTAAACAAATAATTCTTAAATAATACGATACACACTAACACAATTGTGCCATGATAAGTTAATTAAAGTTATTTAATTTTATAGATTTTGCACGACATAAAATATATATTATATATTAAAAAAATATGACGTGTGATAAATAATATTTTTTAGTCAAATAATTATGGATATTATACAATAAATAAATCAAAAGCAATTTTATAATTATGTGTTGACAACACTTTTTGATTGATAACTAAAAAAAAAAATTTTTTAAAAAATATTGGTGAACAAACAAACTCTAATGATAAAAAATCAATCACAACAGCCAAAAACCCTAATTCACCGAGCCAAAGACAAGTACAGTGTTGATCAACCACAGGGATGGTCGACCAACTATCCATTGAACTACACTTCGCAGTTTGCGTTCGTGCATATCAAATTTACGAAGTTAACACTGACATAATTTTTATAAATAAACAACGGCAAGTCTTGAATCTCGATTTTGTGCTTACTTTGATATCATATCTAAAAATTTAAGTTGTCAGAGGAAGACATTTGTTTCGTGTATATGAAAAAATGAATTGCACGTTAATGACTTGGCATATCAAAAACAAAATCTAAGTAAATTAATGTATCCCGACATCTGAAAACCTCAAGCAAAATCGTTATTTTACCCCTACTTGATAGCCATTTTTGTGTAGAATGAGTTTTTGAATAGTAAAATTTTAGAAAATGCGTGATTAAAAAGTAGAAAAAAATTTGAATGTACGTGATGTTGGGCATGTTTGGTAAGTGATGCCCAAATCCCCTAAATTATGATGAAAAATCGAGGCCTGTTTAATTTTATAGGCTATAAGTCCAGGATTGAAGAATTAAATCCACACTACAATTGAAGTAGTCCAATTATGTTGAGGATTTAGAGGTAATCAACCCATTGTGTTAGGTGCTCAATACCCAATTTGGAGGTAATTTAAAAATCACAAGAAAGATAGATAATTATAATCGATATCATTTTCAATCACTTTATCTCGTCTTGGTTGAGCTCTATATTTCAGTTAACTTAATCTTGCAGTTTTGATTCAACCTAATCTTGCAAGATTTCTAGGAAATCCGTTCTCTCCTATGAGCCTATAAATTGAAGTCTTTACTCTTCATTTGACTCACCCAAAAACAAGAGAAAACTCTTCCTGCTTAGTGCAAAAATAAATCCTTCTCTGTCTTCTTTGTGAATCTGTCTTCGTGACTGATAATGACCTTCAAATTGGAGATACCTTTGTGCTGTGAATCAAGTTTCTGAGCCTAATTTAGAAGGGGACATCGTCCTTCAATTTTATGTTTTTTTGGTTCTTAATTTTCTCTACTTTATTCTTTGCAAATTCATCATTAATTGATACTTTTGTTTAGTTTGTAGGCAGTTTTGCTCAACAATTAGAGCTTTGGTGGTGGTGAAAATTCGGCCAAAATCTGACCAAAAATCGGCAAAAAAATGAACTGCCCAAATTTTGGCATAAAAATCGAACCTACAAATGCGATTTCCCGACGATCCAAAAGTCCATTGGTGAATGCAGATCGAGGTTGAGACGTGCAAGTGGAAGCGGTACTGGGTGTGTGGCGCGTGTTCTCGATGGCGGCGTGTGGCAACTTCAGCAATGGCACGTGAGGGCGCGTGGGCTCGAATTTCAAGGAGTTGTCTTCAGGCAGTTTGCTCCTCACATTATTTTTGACATTTTTCGTGTTGGAAATTTTCTGTTTCAAGTTACACAGAAAAAGTTAGATGATTTTTCCCTTGATAGATCAACGGTTGAAATTACCACATATTTACTAAATTACTTTAAGCTAAAATTACGCCCATAAAGCAGTAAATTCGCATTTCTCATAATTTACGGACTCAGACAAGTCCGCTCTAGTAAATTGGCTGAAACTTTACATTATCGCACTAGTAGATCATCGTGTGGAGTAATCATTAGGATTGGGGGTTGTCATTGCTTGGTAACCTAGGATTACTTGTTGATAGAACCTAGGATTACTTGCCATTATCTATTCAATTTTCTAAGTGAAATTATTTATTCATCTTTAGATTAATTTGTTGAACGTTGTTGCATTATTTAATCTCGTATTATTTTAGACTTGTACCCAGACTCCTATTCTAGTTCTTCCCTTGGTCTGAGAACTTAATTCTCACGAAACCTTGGGGGGTTCTAGAATAGCGTATTATTGTGAAATCATAGGAATCTTGTTACTTTGTGTAATCTATGTGACCTGTGATTTTTACATATCTGAATTTGTGCTCTTTTTTTTGTAAAATGTCGACACATCACTTTGAGTTGGGTGTCTTTAATGGCAAAGGATATTTTTCAATTTGACAACAAAAAATGAAAGGTATTCTTGTTCAACAAAAGGTTTCTAAAGCTATTGGTGATTCTTTTCCTATAAACTTGACTACTGAAGAAAAAGAGAATATGGATGAATTGGCATACACTTCTATAATATTACACATGTCTGATGTGGTATTAAGAAAAATTGGTAAGTTCAAATCAGCTCAAAAACTTTGGAAAAAAATGAAGGAACTTTATGTGTCTAAGTCAACTCCAAACAAACTTTTTCTACTTGAAAGCTTTTGTAGCTTCAAAATCGATTCTTCAAAAGATTTGGATGATAATTTGGATGTCTTTAATAAATTTGTACAAGATATCAGTAACTGCGGTGAAAAGGTATCTGAAGAATATAAGGCAAATTTTGTTAAATGCTATCCCTGAAACTTATAGAGAAGTTAAAAATGCTATTAAATACGGAAGAGATACTTTAACACTTGAAATTGTCATAGACTCATTAAGAAGTAAAGAAATGGAAATGGGAGCAGAGAGAGTCGAGAGAAAAAGTGGCGAGGTTCATATGATGAGAGGTAGGTCTTAGTCTAGGACCTGTGATAACCAAAGTGGATACGTGTTTGGTAGTAAAAAGAAAAGTAGAAGTTTATCTAGGTCAAAAATTAAAACTAAAAGTAGAAAATGCTATGGGTGCGGTAAAAAGTGAACACTTCATTAAGATTGTTATGTTGAGAAAAACAAACAAAAGAAAAAAGTTCACGATGAGGCAAATGTTATTACTTCTTCTGATGAATTTTGTGAAGTATATGTGTTATTAAACTCTGAACCTACCGAAGTAAATTTGACTGTGAAATCACATTTAAATGAATGGATACTTGATTCTAGTGTATCATTTCATATTTCATCACATAAAGACTGGCTTGAAAATATGCAAGAATCTAAAAGTGGTCATGCTATCTTGTGCAATAATCATGCATATAAAATTGCTGACATTGGTAATATCACGTTAAAATTTGACACTGATTATGTGTTTAAATTACACAGAGTCAGATATATTCCTGAAATGGCTAAGAATCTTATTTCAGTAGGAGCATTAGAAACTGATGGTTTTACTGGTAAAATTGGAAACAACATGCTTAAAATGATTAAGGGTGCTCCTGTCACCCATAAAGGTACTAAAAGAAACAGTATTTATGTGACCTCTGCTGAAATTGTTAAAAATTCATCTTCCTTCATAAATTTGACCAACACTGATGTCACACACAAGTGGCACAATAGATTAGCTTACATAAGTATTAAATGACTTAAATTGCTAAATGATAAATGTGTATTTGGAAAAGACTGTGCGTCTAATATGTCTTTTTGTGATCACTGTGTACTTGGTAAACATCATAGATAATCTTTTTCATCTAGCATGCGCAAAACTACTAAAGTTTAGAATATATTTATACTAATTTATGTGGGACTGTTACTAATCCTACAATGGATGGTAATAGATATTTTATGTCCATAATTGATGAATATTCTCGTAGGGTGTGGGTTTATTTACTAAAAGATAAAACAGAAACCTTTAAATTTTTGAAAATATGAAAATTGCAAGTTGAAATTCAAACTGGCAAAAAGATAAAATATCTAAAAATTGATAACGGCCTAGAGTTCTGTAATAATGATTTTGATGATTTGTGTGGAAAATGTGGAATTACTAAACATAAAATTGTTCCTTATATACCTCAACAAAATGAGGTGGCTGATATGAATCGTATTTTACTTGACAAAATTAGATGTATGATGTTGAGTTCTGAAATTCCTAAATCTTTTTGGGGTGAAGTTGTTATCACTGCATGTTATCTAATTAATTTAACACCTTCTACTGCATTAAATAGTGATACTCCACATGAAAAATGGTATAGTAAATGTGCTGACTGTATTATGTTAAAACATTTGGTTGTGCTGCTTTCTCTCATCAAAATGAGGAAAAAC